TTAAACCATTAAAATATTCAAATTCTATCAACACATTCAGAACCTTGATGCAATTAATACTTTCAAACTTCCCTATTTTGATTAAATTAGATCTAATCCTGAACAGGTCAGTTTTAATAAAGTGGTCACTCCCCAAAGAAAGAAACACTGTGTGATATTTGCATTCATGTCTGTATTGGATGGCAGGGGGAAGGGAGGGAGGGAGGGAAGGAAATGGAAATGGAAAAAGCATGACTCGTGACAAAAAGCAGGAAAAAATGAGTTGACTAAAGCTGCAGCACTTCTCTAAATAATATGACCTGAGAGCTGAGGCTGCAGATAAAAGGCTTCCTTCATCCTGCAAGACAGTGGACTCACAGTAAATTAAGCTCCAAAGCTGGAACGTTAACTTGAGACTGCAAGATTCTGGAAAAATCTCTTCAATCATAATAATGTTTAATTAGCTTATTTTGTGTTATTCAGTTAAGACTTGTAGATTCACCAACTAGGGATCTTAAAACACCATCTAGCCAAGTGTCCATCCTTTTTAAATATTAAGTTTAGTTTAAGCTTGAAATGTATTTTTCCATGTCCTCAACCTCCAGTGTTACGTGATAACAACAAGGTTGCATTTGACTCAAATGTTACTTATGGTTTTTATGCAAATTATACTCGTGCCAGTGAGAGAAGTCACATTAGTCAACCTGTTTTCTGTTGCCATTTTTGTTTATTTGTATTTTACAGTGCGTACTGTGGTGGGCTGTGGTTGGCGTCCCTGTGTGTGATGTGTAAGATGGCCAGACTGGTAGACAACGAGGAGACATACCAACATTACAGAGACCTCTTGGACAGGGGCAGCGCTGCTTTTGACAAACTGCTGTGGAACGGTGAGTTTAAACACCCATTTGTTGTGTTCAGTATGTATATGTGAAGGGCTGCAAGCTGTCTCTACAGCTAAGTTGCCTGAGACTTAAAATGCCTTCACTTTATTTTCTAATTTCCTTTCATGTTTAGGCAAGTACTACAACTATGACAGCAGTGGGAGAGACCTTTCTAATAGTGTCATGTCTGATCAGTGTGCTGGCCACTGGTTCCTGAGAGCATCTGGGCTGGGAGAGGGAGAATACCAGGCAAGTTAAAACATGAGCCCACATCCTTGCACTGTAAGCCCTGAATCCCAGAAAAGGTTTTTGTAGCAGTAAAAAATGAGGTACTCCCCAGCAGGCCTTCAAAAGATGTGATGTACCCATGTGACAAGAATGATGAAATCTTTTAACTCTACTTTTTTCCTATATTGTACACGTAGTAACAAAATAGCTGAATACATGTCCATGTTAGGTTATGAACTGTTCTTTTTGTTCATGACCTAACATGTCTTCCTTTCCCAGTGCTAAGCTGCGAATTACACAAACATCACTGAATGTTTTTTTTTAGATTTGAACTTACATCAAAGCTTTGTGGTCTCAGCATCACTTCCTCTCTCCCTCCAGGCTTTTCCAAAAGAAAAAATCCAGAGCGCACTAAAATCTGTCTTTGACTTGAATGTAATGAGCTTCGCTGGAGGCCAGATGGGGGCAGTTAACGGCATGCGTCCTGAAGGAGTGCCTGACCGCTCCAGTGTCCAGTCAGATGAGGTCTGGATTGGGGTGGTGTATGGACTGGCAGCCACCATGATCCATGAAGTAAGTGTGTGTGTGTAAAAACAATAAGCTGTATCATACATTATGTTGTAATTTTGCTGTCTGTGTTGTTCCGGTTGAGATGAGGTGAGATCTGTGTTTCTTGCCACATCTGGTTATTTATTATACAGTAAATGAGTTTTTGTGTTGTCACATAAGCAACTGTGGGTTAGGGTTAGCCAACATGATATGTAATAAAATTGTTAACTACGTATACATCAGTATTAAGAAGTGCCAAGACTTCAAAAGTGTTCAACCCGCTCTTTTTAAAGCTATAACATGTAACATTTCCCCATTAAAATGTTTATAAACACTAGATGTATGTTCTATATTTGAGATGTGTACTTCCATTATCGCAAATGTTTCCAACAATATTCAAACTCAGTCATTTTATTCAGGTAACGGTGCATTTCACCGGTCGCCTGTCAATGGCGTCATATCCCTTTTGCACATGCGTTAGTGTTGTGGCTGCCTGCCAGAAAAAATAGATTAATTTTGTATCCAGTTTTAAGCCACATTTTTACGATATACTTTTAGATCTTTTAGTTTTTAACCATATATTTTAACTGGATGAAGGATTTTAGTCATTGGCTGTTTCAATCTTAAGTCGTCAGAGAAACCAACTGATAACTAATGTCAGCTTGTGCTGGCAGTCCTTCTGGGACATTCTTTGTTTGCCGAACCGAATTGGAGAAACACAGATTTTTAAAGTGAAATTGCTTTATTCAGTGTTTTTACCAGTTTTAATTACTACATACATATTGTATGTTTAAGAGACTGTTGCAGTTATTTGAAGGCCTAGTTTTGTTGTTGTTTTTCTACGGTTAAGAGTCCTGTTATAATAAATAAATACTTATGTGACAGTGGTATGGTTCATCTCACCTAGCTGTTGGCGACAAAGCGAATGACCTATTTACCAAAATGCAAGTGAAGAAATATTACACTTATGATCTTTGTTTAAGGCAACTGCACTATAAGTAACTAGCTGATAACAAGTGCTTGTTGGTATGGCTGATTGTGCTGACTGTGTGACATTGTGGCTGTCTTTCTTTTTCCTCAGGGTATGAAAGAGGAGGGTATGCGCACAGCGGAGGGTTGCTACCGGACTGTGTGGGAGAGGCTGGGCATGGCCTTCCAGACCCCTGAAGCCTACTGTGAGAAGGGCATCTACCGCTCTCTAGCGTACATGAGGCCTCTGAGCGTCTGGGCCATGCAGTTAGCCCTGAACACCTCTCAGAAGGGTCAAACTACATCAGCTCAAACTGGAGCCACGGACGGGGAGAAGGGACAGGATTTGAGACAAAATCAGAGCTAGGACCTGAGCCTTCAGACTGGTGTGATTCGAGAGGTACAGCGAAATTCCTCTGAAAATGACCTCCAAATTCTCCTGCAGTCATCACCCTCATCTGCAGGGCTCCGTTTGATCAGTTACAGACCTTGAATTTGATTCTCTACTGTTTGATTTGCTTCAAATGTTTTGTAGTTAGAAGCTTGAGGTCTGAGAACTGTGACGGTTTATGGTTGACAAAGTCAGTAGCTACTGTAGATCATGATATTGTTAGTTTAGGAGTTTTTCAAGAGACTGCTAATGGTTCCTGAATTTTAGAAGCCGTGCAGTGTAGGGTGGAATCCAGGAAATGTCAAAATCGTAGCCAGTGTGTTTTGCTAATTAAAAATTGACCTTGTGTTTCAGCAACATATTGTCTATTTGCACGCATGTACACACATGCAAGCACTACAGTTCAGTCATGTCAATATTCATGTTTGCATACTTTGAAAAAGTTTATATACTAACAATTTGAGGGCTGATGTGTTATTATACCAGCCACATGTAGTCATTATTGTTTAACATTTGAGTACAACAGAGGACCTTTGAGTCAGTCAAGACACATCTGAATAATTTCTCAATCAGAAATATAAACATAAAAATCTTCTTTTCTCGCCACTTAAATTTGAATGCTGTACTAAGTGAAGTAATATGCGATGAGTAGTGTCGGAAATTAAGTCTGAAAAATTCTATATATATTTTTTTCTTTAAAAAAATATTATATATTTTTTTCTTTAAAAAAAAAAAAAAAAAAAGCATTTGGTGGCCTGTTGGCATGTTGGCCTATATCTACAGTATATAATGGCTAGTTGGCAACATTTTACTATGTTTTATTAATATCGGTACTCATGGACAATCTATTGCTGAATAAATGAATAAATGACTTGAATACGATAAACAAGGCAGGGTTTGTTGTGTTTGTTTATTTAACTGCTTATTTAAAAAACAAATACAGTACGTTATGAAATACATGATAAACTTGATGATGAATCTCAAACCTACATTAGTGCTTTCTGTTAAGTCTTCAAGATTGATGCAATGAGAATTTAACTTCGTACTTTGACAATCTACGTGACATAAGGGGAGGTTAATTGGCTTGTTAAAGTAATAAGTTCAGCCTGGGGCCTACCTTTTGTTAGACTACATCCTTCAGAGGATATGCCGTCCCAGACAACCTTTGTTGCTGTTGGATGTCCCCAGGAATCTGTCCCTTCCTATGACTTTCTTCTATATGGCAAGCAAGTGTATGTAGGATGTATTACACAGCACACATCATTATCATTAACGTGCCACGTTGTAATGTTATCACTGACAAACAATAATTGAGAGAGAGTATCATCACATACCTGAGAAACTTATATACACAGTCAGATTATTTATTACCTTTTGAGTTCCCTCTTTTTTTTGAGATGAAACCAAATGTGGCAGCGTGACGGTGCTTTAAATCCACACACCAACTGGTCGACCACTGGGAAGAGGCTGGGCTGATCCACAAAGTCCAGTTCAGGTTTTTGAAATATTTTTTGAATTGTCAGAGTTGTACATTTTGTTCTGTGTTTTCTCTAAGCCCCTCACTATGGACACAAGCTTTATATTCATGTTCATTCATTGGTGTAAGTTAAGAAATTATTATTCCTCCTTACGCTGAACCCTGCCCGTCAGAGTGGTACATTTGGTTTGTTGTTTTCTAAGCCTCTAGCCCTGGGATTAGAGACTTCATTGCAGCTAAACAGCACAACTAAAATTGTTTGCTGCAAACGAATTTTTAAGCAAGAAATAGGCTACGGAGTAACAGAATTCTTACTTTCATATTTTGATCAGCCACTGCCTAGTTTAACAGTTTTGGATCTGCGTTTTGTACGTTTTGGAGCTGGACGGGGCTCACTGAGCGTGACCTGTCAATTCATAGCAGCCTTGCAAAAAGCATACGCAGCTTTATCGTCTATTTACTCTACCTGAAAAAAAAAAAACATTATTTATATTCATAGCGATTGCGCCCACAGAGACCACTGTGATCTGGGTAAATTGGAGGTGGTGTGCCTATATCTTTTTAAGCTCACCACCTGTATTTATTATCTTACGTCTAAAAGGTCAGGCCTGGAATAATAGAGGTGTAGAAAACTTTATGCGCATTTTAAATTGGAGTACTTCATTATTGCAGTTAGCACATTACTAAATGGATTATTTACAGATACAAGTGTAGGTTGTAAGCAGATTTTTTGTTCATTAAAATCCAATCCAATCTCTAAAGGTTTGTGGATCAAGGCATTTTTTAACTAATCGGTATCGCTTTGTTTAGCTTTATTGATTGCATTTGGGATCCACAGAGTCTATCAATAATGCTAACAGGATGATTCCCGGATCTATATCTAGATATTTTCAGTTTCAATTGTACTCTGACTTTTGATGTTTTTATTTGAATTACGAGCAATATATCGCTGATGGATTGATTTGTACTCATCAATCAATTCATTAAATGGTTTTGAAGCAGAATTATTTTTTTTGTTATCTGAAAAGCAAAAGCTTGATTTATGTAGATGCTCGGTGCGTGTATTTTTTTTCCAAGTTGCAATCAAGCTTTCAAACTGACTTTGCGTAATCATTCTTGATACGAGAACCATTTACTGATGATGAATCCTGCCTTCTCGGTTGTAACACTGCCTTCACATTGATATGTTTGACTTTTGTATTATGAGCCTAACCCTCATTTATGGACACAAGCATTTGAGTTCACATGAATGTTCTAATTATTAGGGTTATGGAAGAAAAACGTCCCTGGGTGGCTTGGAACACCAACCTTTCGCGTTAACAGCCGAACGCCGCTAACCCGATTGCGGCCACAGAGACCACTGTGAAGGACTGGTCTTGAGGGGGGCGTGCCTAGATCTTGGAGCCCACCCTTACATTTGCTATTTACTTTACTTGAGTCTCCATATGCAGCTTTTTAAACACAACGATCCTGAAAAGGCAAAGCTGACTATGTGACAACCAAGTGTGAACCTATCATGACGTCACACCATTTTTTGTTGAAAGTACCACTTTGGAAAGCCTCGGAATTTGGCGTTTTGGCTGCTGCCATGATTGTTAGACGGAACCAGCGCGAACGCCAGCAGACGTGACATTACTGCGAGTTGATTCTACACTCATTGGCGGTACAGTTTTGGACTCGTCCATTAGCCGGAAAAAAAAACCCCAAAAAATTTTTGGGCGCGGGGGGGGCTTTCGAAAAAAACGCAATTCTTATTGCAGGTAAACAGCACACTAAAATATGTTTGGGGCTGAAACGATTTAAGCAAAGAAATAGGCTTACGGAGTAACAAGGAATCTTACTTCATATTTGGATCAGCACTTGCCTAGTTTAACAGTCTTGATTTGAGTTTTGGTACGTTTGAGCTGGACGGACTTAAGAGCGGTGACCTGTCAATTCATAAGCTAGCCTTGCCAAAAAGCGATGCATGACTTTATTGTTCTATTTATCACATTGGATCTAATTAATTTATGAACATCATAATGTTATTGAGATAAGATGCTCGAAAACTAGAGCTTAGATCCGTGAACTCGTTAGGAAACTTTTTTATTGAGCTCATTAAATGAAGTGACAAGTCCATTAAAGTGAAGGGGGATTGTTGTGTTATTGCAGCCAATGAGCTCCCCCTGCTGGCCTTGTACATAGAATGCAGGTTTAAGGACATTGCCCCCTGGGGCTTTTCATTTTTCAGACCTGGAAGGCTTCTGTCCATTATATATACAGGTGACTGGGTCCTGTCCACTTAATCAACACCGCGTATCACACTTGTACATTTCCTCTTTGTTTGTCTTAAACCTTTAACCTCATTCATTGACACGAGCTTTATAATTTATGTTGTGTTTATGGTTAGTTATGAAGAAAACGTCACTGGGTGGGCTTGAACCACCAACCTTTCGGTTAACAGCCGAACGCGCTAACGATGCCGCACAGAGACCACTTATGGTCTGGTGGTTTAGGGGTGGTTGGCCTGGTGTTTTAGGGCCGTTATTATATTGAAGCCCCACCACCTGCAAAATGTTGATGAAGAATATTTTTTTGTTTATCTGGAAATTCAAAAGTTTGATTTTAATGTAGACGCTGCATGGTCGTTATTTTTTTCAGTTGCATCGGAGCTTAATAACTGACTTGCGTAATAATTTTTGATACGAGACCCATACTTATAGTGAATCCTGGGCTCTCATGTTAACACTGCCTGTCGCAGTTATTTTATTGTTCGCACTTTGTTTCCTGAAGCCTAAAGTGCGTTCTTGTAGACTCGCACTGCCCGACCTGCCGGTAACATATTTATTTACTTGCGCTGGTGGGTCGCGACACTGGGTTGGCCAGTATTTCTCCTGAACAGAGTGGCGCAACTGAGGCAAAGGCTACCGACTTTGTTATTTCTACGCACTAAAGAAGAAGAAAAAAGGTAAACAATGGCCGGCCTCCTTTTTGATTTTCAAAATTTCAGGTCGCGGAATTCTTCTAAATTTTTCCGGCATATGACCTTCCTCTTTTTCCAACATTCATGGCAATTTCTCTCCATGAATGTTGGAATCTTCTGTGTTCCTTCATTGAAGGGATCGTAGCAGATGCCTGTAGAGGCGCACTTGCTCGGAAAGCTTCCGTTTCTGGTTTTGGCGCGCTCAGCTGAAAAAAAAAAGAGTGCGTGCGCGAGCGGCCAAAATCCTGTCGGCCAGCGAAGGTTACGTCATTTTGACGTCTACAGTGTCGGCGCGACAGGTCTCAAGCGCAAGCATGTACTTCGGCCTTAAACCCTTATTATGGACACCAACTAATGTATGTGTTATTTATGGTTAGTTATGAAGAAAACGTTTCCCTGGGTGGGCTTGAACCACAAAACCTTTCGTTAACAGCCGAACGCGCTTAACCGATTGCGCCACAGAGGACGGCTGTTGAGGAATGAATTGAGGGGGGTGCCTCGATCTTGGAAGGCTGTTACTTTTCTATCTACATTAGAAATCAGTCGGAGTAATTATAATAGAAAAACTTTAAGTATGGCCTTTTGAATTGAATCATTACATATAGTTTGCAATTACTAAATAGAATCATTTACAAACTACAGCGTTATTTGTAAGCAGAGATTTAAGCACTTATTACTCCACCTGTTACGGATCCCTAACTAATTTACAGATAATTCCTCTATTGACAGTTATAACACAGCTGTAAAGTCGATATCTATCATCTCTCTAAAAATTCCCTCATATAGTGGGCAAAGAACGTTTACAGACCAGGAATCTTGTTACCCTTTGGCTCAATTATATAAATGAAATGCCTGAATCCTCTTTGGTTAATTGTATAATGTATAGTTTTCCTCTTCTTGAAAGCTTTACTTTTTTGGTCGTTTCCTGACTTGGCAATTTCTTAATTTTATTGTTATAACGCTGCTAACATTACACATTGATGAATTGAGTCTGTTTACATTGCAACACCGGCATCACCATTGTAGAGAGGCTCTTTTTCTCTAAGACTTACCCCTCTTACAAATTCATCGGTGATGTTAATTAGTACGAATTAAAACTTCCTGGGTGGTTGAACCACCAACCTTTCGGTTTATACAGCCGAACGCGCTAACCGATTGCGCCACAGGAGACATCTGTGTCTGATATTCAAGGGGGTGTGGCCTTGATCTTGAAGCCCCACCCACCTTTAAAATGTTTATGAGAATTTTATTTTTTGTTATCTGGAAAACAGCAAAAGCTGATTTATGTAGATGCTTCATTGGTGTATATTTTTTCCCCAGTACGAGCTTATAAACTGACTTGGAGTAATAATTTTTTGGATACGAGGACCATACTTATAGTGAATCCTTCTCTCACTGTAACACTGCTCTTTCGCAGTTATATGTTCACACTTTGTTCCTTGAAGCCTAACCCTTATTATGGAACAAGGCTTTATAATTATGGGTTACTTATGTTTAGTTATGAATAAAACGTCCCTGGGTGGGCTGAACACCAACCTTTGGTTAACAGCCGAACGCGGACTAACCGATTGCGCCACAGAGGACCACTGTGGTCTTAGTATTATAGGGGGTGTGGCCTCGGTATTTTTAGGGTGGTGTGGCCTAGATCTTGAAAGCCCACCCACCCTGAAAATCTTTGCTGGTTTTCACTTTGGTCATCGCATGTTTCTTCTCAACGAGCTCCCCCTACAGCTCTGTCACGTGTATTTTCACAACACGGTCGTAAAAAAAAACTCACTTGCGGCACCCTCTCCCCCTTTTCTACCGCTGGCTGATGTGCCTTTTTTTCGCCGGGCAACTTTTGTGTGTGGGAGCAATATCTACCGAGGTGGTGGTACACACAATTATACACTAACCGTTATTGAGGGCGGCGTGTGCGTTTATGTGGAATTGCTCGTAAAGCCGTTCGTGTTTCTCGCTCGTTCTCGCTTCTCGCGATACTTCCTATTTCCAATTTACCGGACGGTATGTCCAAAGTTGCAAAGTTGGTTTTTCCGCCTGGGGGTCGCCTGAGGGGGGTCCAGGGGGGGCACATTTTCACCGGAACAGGCATTTAACCATCCAAATGATTTCACTACACGGGTTTTTTATTAAGCTGAAAAAGTTGCAAGTTCCCCTGTTAACCCGCATTATTGGGACGCCAGCTTAAAAGTTTTTGATGAAAAAACGTCCCTGGGTGGGCTTGAACCACCAACCTTTCGGTTAACAGCCGAACGCGCTAACCGATAGCGTCACAGAGACCAGTAACAGGTTTTGAGGGGGCGTGGTCTCTATCTTTAAGCTCCACCCACCTGTACAATGTTGAGAAGTTGAGATGGATAATATGGTAGAAACTTTAATTATAGCATTTTGAATTGAGTCTTCATATACAATTAGCAATTACTAAATGACATACAGTGATCCAGTTCAAAGTTTTGCATCGTGTTCACTGGTCTGAAACCAAACTCGAGTTCACACCCAGTGTTGATCCTACATGTGACCAATGCAGGCAAGCCCCAGCCACCCTTTTGCATAAGTTTTGGTCTTGTCCAAAACTAAATAATCTCTGGCATCAATATTTTAAGCCATGTCAGATGTTTTAAAGGTACCCATAGCTACGTAGCAACCATTTCTGACCTACAGTATATAGAAAAAAATGGACATTGTTGAGATTGCTGACCCCTTAGTTTTTGTGATCATTATTTTCCTTTGTGTCTTATTTACAATTTTTGTGACATTGACTATATTTATATATACATAACTCCTTATGAATCAATTATGTTTTGATATTATATAACTGGAAAAAGTGAAAGCTGACTTATCTAGATGCTCATGGTGTGTTTTTTTTTTTTTTTTCAATTGCAATCAAACTTGGATCATTCTGGATACGAGACCATACCGCTACTGATGTTGTGTCTTGCTTTCATAGTTACACCGATCAGCCATAACATTATGACCATCTGTCTAATATTGTGTAGGTCCCCCTTTTCTTCCAAAACAGCCCTAACCTTTCAAGGCATGGACTCCACTAGATCTCTGAAGGTGTGCTGTTGTATCTGGCACCAACACGTTAGCAGCAGATCTTTCAACTACTGTAAGTTGTGAGGTGGGGCTTCCATGGATTGGACTGTCTAGCACATCCCAAAGATGCTAAATTGGACTGAGATTTGGGGAATTTTGATACCAAGGAATATAGTTTCAATGAAAGTGTCCCTGGTCTGCAACAATGCTTAGGTAGGTGGTACGTGTCAAAGTAACATCCACATGAATAGCAGGACCCAAGGTTTCCCAGCAGAACATCGCCCAAAGCATCACACACTGGCTGGCCTTCTTCCCAAAGTGCATCCTGGTGCCGTGTGTTCCCCAGGGAAGCGACGCACACTCACAGGGCCATCCACAAGATGTAAAAGAAAACGTGACTCATCAGACCAAGCCACCTTATTCCATTGCTCTGTGGTCCAGTTATGACGCTCACATTCCCATTGTAGTAGCTTTCAGCATGGGACACGGGCCAGCCTTCGCTCCCCACGTGCATCAACGTGCCTTTTCCTTCCTTGGACCATTTTTGATAGGTACTGACCACTGCAGAACGGGAACACCCCACAATAGATGCAGTTTTGGAGATGCTCTGACTCAGTCGTCTAGCCATCACAATTTTGGCCCTGTCAAAGTCGCTCAAATCCTTACGTTGCCCATGCTTCTAACACATCGACTTTGAGGTCAAAATGTTCATTTGCTGCCTAATGTATGTATTTTTTTCTCAATGTGTTATCCCTAATTATGGACACTTGCTTTGTAATTTACATGATGTTTATTGGTTAGTTATGAAAGAAAAACGTCCCGGGGGGGCTTGAACCACCAAACCTTTCGGTTAACGCCGAACGCGCTCGATTGCGCCACAGAGACCACTGTGATCTGGTGTTGAGGGGGTGTGGCCTAGATCTTTAAGCCCCACCCTCTTACGTTTACTATTTCCTTCTAGAAATCAGGCTTACTAATATGGTTGAAACTTGAATTATGGCATTTTGAATTGAAATTGCACTCAAACTTTAAATGTTCTTGTTTTGGATAAAAGGTCATAACACCACTAATGATGAGTCCTGTTCACATTGCAACACCGGCATAAATGTTATAAATGTGCTCCTTGTTTGTTTTTTTAAGCTTTATCTTTTATTGTGGACGTCAGCTTACTAATTTACATGATTTTAATTGGTTAGATAAGATGAAAACGTCCCTGGGTGGGCTTGA